TATGGAGATGGAGTGCTTCCAGCACAAATGCGCAGCTACATATGGGCTAGTGAGACTGTCTGTATCGCCATCTCCTCAGTAGGCGACAAAGGACGCTAGGACCTCGCGGTTGTTGGAAGCTCCGCCCATACCAGATAGAAGCTCTCGTTAACATATGACTGCTACTACGCGGAGAATCTATCGATCTCCCCCTCTTTTAGTGTCTGCGACTGCACACTTCGCTCCTGGTTGACACTGTTTGTGGTCCATCGCATCGTCGGCGAGCATCGGCGTTCCCCCCCCCTGCCATGGTCGTAGCGCTGGAGATGAATCGGGTCTTATTAGGAGCGTTTACAAAACTTCTCTCTTCTTTATTGTGATACAAATAGCATCCACATATCCATTGCTGGACACCACTACTTACATTGCAAGTGCGAAATGTGTCATAAGGTTTAGGCTGGGACCCCCAGATATGCATCAGAGGCTCCCCCACTCGATATGTACGGTAGCGGTACCGAGAAAGCGAGATGCTAGACGCAACGTCCAATTTGTGGAGGCACTCTAGCTCTAGTACTCCCTAGCTGGTTCATTCGGCATGCGGTAGCAGCACTTCTGTCTCAAAACAATTATATCCTGGTGCGAATGAAGCGCCCGCGACGCCACTTGCAGCCCGTCTTCGCTGTTTCGACGAAGCATGAGCCTAATGTGTCGCACCTCCGACAAAAACGCGAATCGTTTTTACATGAACTTTTCGAAAAAAAACACAAAAAAGTAATACAAGTAAGTTACAGGAATCAACACCGGCCCAGTGGTTGCTGGTGTAATTGGACTGATGAAACCTCATTATGATATTTGGGGTAATTCGGTGAATGTTGCTAGTCGAATGGACTCATCAGGAGTGCCGGGGAAAATACAGGTTCGGAACGTTTAAATCGGATTTTCATACACAGCTAGCTCTACTAGCGCGTGCACAATGAGGTGGGTATTGATTTTACGCGCGTAAAATCGATGTCCATATTCAGCGTTAAAGTAGAGGAAAGTAGTCCCACTCTTGTTTTGCATAGTTCCTTACCTTCTCAATTATTATCGCCCTGTTTTCTTTCAGGTAACCGAAGAAACGAAGAATATTCTTGAAAAGGAGGGTTTCGAATTTGAGTGCCGCGGTGAAATCAACGTGAAAGGCAAAGGACTAATGACCACCTACTTCCTGAAAACAGCCCCCGATCAAGCAGAACTCTTTATTTAAATCTTCTATTAGTTGGAGTTTCGCCTTATATAGAGGAAATTCTATCAAAGATTACTCAACTAGGTGCTACTTATATGTACGCGCGCTTCTCCTTCCTTCAGTATGCAACTATGTGGACCTAATGTCACTGCCTCTTCAGGAGCAAGAAATACCCCGCGGGCATAGGAATAGGTGGGGGCAAAAGGGTAAATATCGCTAGGTGCATTTCGCGTAGCAGGGCAGATACTGTCTTTGTAGAGAACTTCAGTTTAATACCGCCCCATCCCACTCCGCAACACAGCCATCATACCAAACTTTCTATCTATCAGAAATAGTGGGTTTTTAGCGCCGCCCATTAGGAGGGGGCGTAGAAACATAGTTCGCCGCGAAGTGGGAAAATTCAACAACCAAAAAAATTCTCAGGCCAAACACGACTCA